CTGTAGAAGGAGGTGGTTAGGATATTTCTCTCTCTCTCTCTTCCTCTTCCCCTCCTTCCCTTCCTCCTTGCCTTCCTTCCCTTCCCTCCCTCCCCCTCCGCCTTCGCTCGCTCGCTCCCTCCTCCCTTCCTCCCTCCTCCCCGCCTCCCTGACCCCCGTCGTGTGATGACGGCGTGACAGCGGAACACCTGCGAGAAAAGGCGCGCGTCGGGAGCGGACACAATGGCCGCTCGGGATCTCAATACCCGAAGGCGGCTTTGGTCTCGTCAGGGTATTGACGGCTTCAGGGCCTCCTCCTTCTGCCTTTTGTTTGCCCTTCACTCTAGCAGTTAAGATCGTAACCTCGTATTCACCGATGGGATTTCCGACCGTATAATAGCCTTTAAGTATCGACCGCGTCAAGCGAGCGAACGAGGCGCCGCCAAAAGGAAAACGTGTTGTGCAAGTTCGTCTTCGGGCGGTTGCCTTCCTGTCGCGGACACGGGCTTCAACACGCACGGCCACGCTGCGTGCAAACACACGCGCGTGCACTCAAACAAGACACACGGCACAGGTATAAACCGACGCACGAATATCCACAAGCAAATACCCCCACACCACATGTACACACACACACACACACACACACACACACACACACACACACACACACACACACACACCACACATATTATATATATATATATATATATATTTATATTATATATATATATATATACTACACACGACACACAACACACCCACACACACTACACACACACACACACACACACACACACACACACACATACACACACACACACCACACACACACACACAACACAACACACACACACACACACAATACACACACACATATATATATATTATTATATATATATATCATAGTTATTATATATATATATATATATATTATATATATATATATATATATATATATATATATATATATATTAATAATAGTATATATACAATACATACACATATTACGGCAGCATAAATAGAAAAAGTAACAGATAGAGCGACAGTTAGAGAAAACATGATTCGAGAGGAGAGGAGGAGAGAGAGAGGATAAGAGAAATGAAATTGGAATAAACATATATTAACTCACGCTTAAAGAGAGAGAGAGAGAGAGAGAGACAGAGATGAAGAGGAGAAGAGGAGGAGAGAGAAGAGAGAGAGAGAGAGAGAGAGAGGAGAGAAGACGAGAGAGAGAGAGAGAGAGGAGAGAGGAGAGAGAGAGAGAGAGAGAGAGAGAGAGAGAGAGAGAGAGAGAGAGAGACTTCCATACTGTACATCTACTTTATACACGGATGGAAACGAAGACAAAGCAAATCAGTTACATCATAATAGTTGGATAGAATTCAAATTTCAAATAACATTCCTCTTCCGGCTGCACTTATATCCCAATTGGCAAAATCATAATACCATGTTTTTGTGTATTTTTCTCCATCATTCCCAGTTTCTTTCATTCATTTAATATCCATTTCCTTTGTCGAAGTTTGTTATAATTCGCCGAACATTGTAGCCATCAACAACAACAACGGCGAGTCGACAACGCTTTCGGACACCGCAAGCAAACGAGTTGTAATCCCTTACACGCAAGATCACGTGATGGGGCGCGAGGGGAATCTAGGCGTCCTGCTCCCGCTAAATTATAGGGATCTGATCCTCCTCCAGACTACTTGTTGAATGCTCACGTGTTTTCCCGTCCTTACGGTCGCCGGGACGTGCGGTTTGCTTGGAAATGACGCCTTTACGGATTGCCGAGGAGGGCGTATCTTCGGCTGGGTCTCTGGCCTCGAGATTGATGGTTGTTTCGTCGGGACAAGACATTGCGAAGGAGGAAGAAGGAGGAGAGAGTGAGAGGGAAGGAGACAGAAGGAGAGGGAGGAGAAGAGGGAAGGAGGGAGGGAGAAAGAGAGGTAGAAAAGGAGAGAGAAAAGGGGAGGAGTGTACAGTTGGAGAGAGAGAAATGATAAAAAGAGGAAATAAAGGCAGAAAGGGGAAATACTTGAGTGAAAGGAAGAGCGAACAAAAAAAGCGAGCAAGAGAGAGAAAGGAAAGAAAGAGAGGGGGAAGGGAGGGAGAGAGAGAGAGAGGGAGAGAGAGAGGAGAGAGAGAGAGAGAGAGAGAGAGAGAGAGAAGAGAGAGAGAGAGAGAGAGGAGAGAGAGAGAGAGAGAGAGAGAGAGAGAGAGAGAGAGAGAGAGAGAGAGAGAGAGAGAAGACATGAGATGAATGAAAAAAGACAGATAGCAATGATATAACTTTATGTCCTGACTACACGTAACTGATTAAACCTAAAACCAAGAATTAAATTAAGTGAAAAGAAAACACTTCAATATCAAGCAAAAAAAAAAAAATGTAAGTCCTTGAAATAAGCAGAACGATTCGGAAGAGAAAGGAAAATATTCAAAACAGGTCGAGACATTTAACATATCTTAATGCGATCTCGTGAAACGATGGAAATTGGCCAAGATTTCTTCTTTTATCTTTTTACTGTTGCTGTTCTTTTTATCATTTTCTTCCCTTTAATGCGATTCAGTCTCTAGCTTTATATAAAAAACTTTCCATAGTATTTCCCCAATATTAATTTTAGCTGTTCCATAGTATTCAATAAGTTATCTGTTCCCATTAGTATTCGATAAATTATCTGTTCCATAGTATTTCCGAATAAATTATCTGTTCCATAGTTCATAAGTAATTTCCCGAATAAGTTATCTGTTCCTCGCTGATAAAATAAGTATGCTTCGATGGCTTGTCTGTTCATGATTTTTTTATTCTGGCTAAAAGTCGAAGGAGTGTTTGCAATCCTGTCGGGTACGATGATTAACGAGCCGCGAAGATCCTAAATCACCTGAAATTGACAAGCCTTTTCTGTGATACTCCTCCATCCTTAATCCCCTTACCCCCCCCCCCACCCCCCATCTCTACTTCTATCATTCCTCCTCCACTCTCCTTCTACCCTCCTTCCTCTCCCTGAACTCTCTCTTCGTGTGGCTCTATTCATATTCGTGTCCCTCTGTACACTCTCCTTTTTCCTAGGTACTCCCTCCCTCCAGTGTCTACCCTCCTCCCTCTCTCTCTTCCCCTCTCCTTACCCTGTTCTATCTTTCAACCTTTCCCTCCAGACCTTCGGATACCTCCCTCCTCCTCTCACCGACCCTTCCCTTCCTCCCACTCCCGTCCCCTCCCTCCTTCCTCCGACCCCTTCCCTCCCTCCTCCTCTTCCTTCCCTCCCTCCTCCAGCCCTTCCCTCCTTCCCTCCTCCCTCCCTGTCACAGCGTGCTATTCCTCCCTTCCTCCCCTCCTCCCTCCTTTCTCCAGCCCTTCCCTTCCTCCCCTCTCTCTCCTTCCCTCCTTCCTCCAGCCCTCCCTCCTTCCCTGTCACAGCGGGCTATCATCAAGAGCGCGTAATGTCCCATTATCCCAGCCGTCACCCATCTTATCTCCTCCCCCTCTCTTCCCCCATTCTCTCCCCCCCTCTCTTCCCCCTCTCTTCTCCCTTTCTCTCCTCCCCCTGTCCCTTATCTGCGTTCCTTTCTGCCTCCCTTCGCCCGTGTACTTCGTCTGTGTTTCCTCTTCGTCTTTCCCTTCTTCCCCCTTTTCACCCCCTCCCCCTTCCCCATTCCCTTTTTTTGTTACCTTTTTCTCGCTTCCACTTTATTCCCCCTCTTCATTAACTCTCTTCTCTTTATTGTCTTCCATCTCCAACGCACCTATCCTTTCCTCCCCTCCTCGCCCTCCTTCCCTTCTCTGCTTCCTGTCTCCCTTCTTTTCCCCTTCCTTCCCTTCCCTGCAACCTTTCTTTCCTCCCTTTCCTCTTCCCGTTTCTTGCCCCTCCCCTCCTCTCCCTTTCTCTCCCGCATCTCCCCTTTCCTTTTCCTTCCTCCACCGTTTTTTCGCCCCTTTCCTCCCCCCTCTCTTCCTCTCTCTTCACTTTCATTTCCATTCCTTTCCCCTCCCCTTCTCAATATTTTCCCAACCTCCTTCCTCCCCCTTTCCCCCTCGCCTCTCTTCCTCCCTCCCCACCTTCCCCTATCCACCCTCCTTCCCCTTCCCCCTCCCCCTCTCCCCTCCCTCAACCCTGCGACCTGACCTGAGTGAAGCCGATAGATTATTTCCTTCTCGTGTGTCCTTCGTTTGGGCTTCAAGGAAGGCGCGGCAGGAAGGCGTCGGACCTCTGGCTGAACGGCAGACGGGACCCGCTAGCGTCGGCGGCGGGAGAGGCGGCCGAAGGAGCACCTGTTCCCCGAGCCCTGGTTGGAGGCTGGCCCGCGCTCGACTCCGGCCTGCGTCACTCTTCTGTATGCTATATATATATATATATATATTATATATATATATATATATATATATATATATATATATATATATATATATAGTAGTGTTGTGTGTGTGTGTGTGTGTGTGTGTGTGTGTGTGTGTGTGTGTGTACATATATGTATATGTATATATTTACATAATATATATATATATATATATATATATATATATATATATATATGTATACATTATACATATATACAGTATATGTGTGTGTGTGTGCGGGCGCGTGTAAATATGTACTCATGTACACCATCCAGCCAAACAGACACCCTAATAAGGACTCGGAACAACCGCCAGGGATTCCTTCATCCAAAATGGCCAAGAAACAAAGCCGTTAATTTATTTATTCAATTTATTACTGAAACAGACCGATAATTGATAACAGAATCTCTTATTAGTAATCGCCGACTGCACACTCCGTCGGTGGGCGGAACACGGGCTGGAGAAGTCTAAAGGTAATTATTTGCTGGATCTTGTAGGAAAACCTAAAACATACACACAAACTCACACATTCATAAACACGCACACGCGCACACACGCAACACACCACACACACAAACACACGAACACACACAAACACACGAACACACACACACGAAACACACAACACATCACACACAACACACACACACACAAACCACACACACACATTTCCTGGCAGCAGTCATTT